ATAATGCCGGGGTGCCGAGTTCGATCCCAGCTGCAAGCCATGCGCCTTGCGTTGGTTTCGACAGTGCTATCAGGGGACCGACCGTCCAGTGGAAATGGCAAACTACTGGACGTAAATTTGCCTAGAGAAACCACACAAGGGCTGCTGGGGTTGGTTCTGCAACGTCCTGTAAAGGAAACGCAACTAACCTTCTTGTTAATCATTATGTCCTAGTGAGATTATTTTGAAATATAGACAAAAACATCAAGAGGTCATCTCCATATTAATTGCCGGCGAGGTGCGGATTTTTAAATTGTGTGTGGGATAGGCTATCGCAATATTCACCACACATAACTGCACTTAGGAACTGATTTCTAAACAATCTTCCGTGATTGTGTCAGTTTTTGTATATTCTAATGGTCGTGGGTACACAAATTATAAGTCAAACAAAGATCAAAGAAATACGCCTCATTTAGAAAACAATCGTAAAGTATAAAATCGTACAGGCGCGGGAAATTTCAGACCACATGCAACGATTTGTGCTGATCCTTACAGAAGTTTTCGAGATATTTGTTAAGTGGGTGGACACGAGTTCTGAAACGTACTATAGACAGCGATCACCACAACTTCACAGTTCTACCCAGCTCTAAAATCACGTTAGAGTAAATCGAATTATACATGTGAGTAACGTCAGGGAGAAGTTTGCTTTGTGTGCTTGTGTCGTTAATACGGTCAAAACTTTCTGGTTTTCACAACCACCAGAAGCATAACATAACATTAGCTCTAGGGCACATTCAAAGCCGTGGTGGCATAGTGGTTAAAATCTTACCTGAATGTTCGAAGATCTTGGGTTTGAATTCGCTCCGTGGCGTATATAAAAAAAAATTGACTTTGCTCCCAGGTCGACGCAGATTAAATAGGTGCAATGAAATATCTTGGGAAGAAAAGGCAGCAGGTGTGATGATGACAACATCACCTTTTAAGTGCATATTGGTCTATAAAAATGTGATTTCAGGTCAGTGATTTCAATCCTTTCCGACCCCTTGAGTATACGGCAAGACCCCCACGTCCCTATTGAGCCTGAGTCAAGACCCCCCCCCCCCCCCTTTTTTTTTAAACATAAGGCAAGACACCAAGCCCTTCTTTAGTATATTGCAAAACTCCCCTATGTCTTCCCCCCTCCTCCTTGAGTATTTTGCAAGACCTTCATGCCCCATCCTTGAGTATATTGCAAGACCTTCATGCCCCATCCTTGAGTATATTGCAAGATCTTCATGCCCCATCCTTGAGCATATTGCAAGATCTTCATGCCCCATCCTTGAGCATATTGCAAGATCTTCATGCCCCATCCTTGAGCATATTGCAAGATCTTCATGCCCCATCCTTGAGTATATTGCAAGATCTTCATGCCCCATCCTTGAGCATATTGCAAGATCTTCATTCCCCATCCTTGAGCATATTGCAAGACCTTCATGCCCCATCCTTGAGCATATTGCAAGATCTTCATGCCCCATCCTTGAGCATATTGCAAGATCTTCATGCCCCATCCTTGAGCATATTGCAAGATCTTCATGCCCCATCCTTGAGCATATTGCAAGATCTTCATGCCCCATCCTTGAGTATATTGCAAGATCTTAATGCCCCATCCTTAAGTATATTGCAAGATCTTCATGCCCCATCCTTGAGCATATTGCAAGATCTTCATGCCCCATCCTTGAGCATATTGCAAGATCTTCATGCCCCATCCTTGAGCATATTGCAAGATCTTCATGCCCCATCCTTGAGCATATTGCAAGATCTTCATGCCCCATCCTTGAGTATATTGCAAGATCTTCATGCCCCATCCTTGAGCATATTGCAAGATCTTCATGCCCCATCCTTGAGTATATTGCAAGACCTTCATGCCCCATCCTTGAGCATATTGCAAGACCTTCATGCCCCATCCCTGAGTATATTGCAAGATCTTCATGCCCCATCCTTGAGTATATTGCAAGACCTTCATGCCCCATCCCTGAGTATATTGCAAGATCTTCATGCCCCATCCTTGAGTATATTGCAAGATCTTCATGCCCCATCCTTGAGCATATTGCAAGATCTTCATGCCCCAAGACGTCCATAGATAATGTTTTAAACATCACGTGGACTGCGTTTATTTCTAAGAACATTTCCTAGTACCTACTTTAGACTGGGTCGACCTGGAAGCCAAAGTCACTTTTTGAATAGTGATTATTCGATGCAGATTTAAATCATAGACATTCGGGTCTGCAGGCTCGGCTTCAGCCATCACGCTACAGTGGCCTCTGTCTGGAGAAATGTTGTAAACTGTATCCTTCTATTTGTCCCCACAGCGTATATAACAAAACTCTCTATTACAGAAATTCTTGTTATTATCATCAATTACTGCAGATAGAATCGGTCATCCTAATGATGACCCAACTGACGTACCTCAAACCTCTGGTCTTCTCGAGCCACTGCGGCGACAACATTGTCTTTAGCGACAACCGGCTTCTGGCTGAAGGACATTATCTGACTGCCCATGGTCAGTTCATCACAAATGGACACTTTGGACACAATCAGCCGCTTTGGTTAGAATTTCAGGGAACAGGTAAGTCCCACAAATACCGTCTCAGTTTCATATTGTGTTGGACGTGACTGTGTCGAACGTATAGGTTTTATGGAAATGTTATACTGTTATAATCTTGCAATGTTATTTTACATTATGCATTGTTATCTCAATGGACGTGATAATAATTTTTGACAAGCTCACATCCGTAGCTCCTTAGCATGTCGTAAGAGACCACTAAATAAGTTGTTGTCGGTCAGATGTGTTGGGACGAAAGGCACAGACATCGCAGACTGATTTTGAACCACAGCACAACTGCCTTTTGAAGGCGAACACAGAGAAAGCAAAACTATCTACATTAGTTGTTATTATTTATTTAGTAGGAAAGATCATGTGTCCCAACATTATTCATCATCATCATAACTATAAACATAATCGGAGTCATCATCATGTTTTCTGAACATCGCTCTCATCACTTACCAGAAAGCTACTTTATCCCATGTCACCTTTTCTTCATCAAGAAATGTAATGCCCAGGGACCTTAGTGTACAAGAAGCGAAAAGCCCTAATGTATCAAGAAAAATTAAGAAAGGGGTTCTTTAGGCGAGGACTAGAAACAGAAATATTCTAGCCCAAACATGAGATCTTCTGTGTAGAATCTAACCAACCAAGCAACAAATAAACTAGGCACATTAACCACAAGTCTTAATCTAACCAAAACAAGTGGAACTATAATTACCACATTCAACATCTGTTTATTTCACTGAACATAAACTAAGTTCTCCACAAATAAAAATGCATTAAAATTCACAACGTGTGCGAAAATACCCTACAACAGATGGAACCTATCTCTGCCTACACACCTCAACCCGCGTTGTACTAAACCATAGAACGCAACAGGAAAATCAGAACTACATGTTACTCGTCCGAACAGCAGAGGCCTAAGAGGGTGAATTGACCACTCCTGTCTGTTTAATCACTACCTGCCCCAAGCATGCCAAGTTTTTGGCTCGCTTTAAGCCTAATTAAATTTATAAAATAGTTGTCCAGGGACTGTCACATTAATATCCTGTGTCCTATACAGTGCTCATCTTTCGAGAACAATAACCTCTGCAACGCTCTGTCATTCTTTCAGAGAAGGATCACTGCAATGGCCTAGGACCTTTGCTGTCATAGTAGATTATATAACCAGCGACTGCACATATCAACGTCTCACAAGAGGCGGCCACATACATTTTCGTTGAATCAATGTTTACTGAGTGCTCTATCAAGTGACCCTGTATCTATCGCCGGTCGTTAATCTGTCTAGAGGACGATTCACCAGATCGTAGACCTCCCGTGTACGTCACTACCAGACGGACAATTACCTGAAGTTACCTGAATTCAACATACAGACTTCGTTTACTCACACTCTGGGTCAGCTTCCCACAATCGCTGCTCCCATTCACTCAGCATTTCCAGTCCCCCTTTATGTTCTAGTTACCCTCTTCTACTACTACTAATACTACTTGTTTCTACTTACTATTACTACTTATTGTTACTACTATTGTTGCTGTTGTTGCAACGTCTACTGCTACTAATACTACTACTATTACTACTATTACTACTACTGCACCTGCTACTACCACAACAGCAACAACCACATTACTACTACTACTACTACTACTACTACTACTACTACTACTACTACTACTACTACTACTACTACTACTACTACTACTACTACTACTACTACTACTACTACTACTACTACCACCATCACCACCATCACCTACTGTAACTTATATTTCTTCTTTATCTTCTACTTCATTATTATTTGCCTTGAGGTTCATTGCTACAGATATCGCCATTCTCCATTCATCTTTATGACGGGCCTAATTATTTTTAAGTGTCTATATATCAAATTGTATATTATCTTCTCTTCTTCTTCTTGTTGTGTTTTGTTGTGTACGCCCTATTTATCATTTTTAATTACACAGTTGTTGTATCTCATTATTGTGTCATTTTCTTTTCAATATTGAAAACATTGTAGTCTATCAGCCCTCACGATGCTAGTAATTATTGATAATTTACATATAGTTTTGAATGTCGTTGTTGCTTCTTCGTTACAATTATCCGCTGTTATCACCTTCAATAGCTCGAACGATTTGTCATAAGACTGTACAGAATAGTTTGTTTTGAGGCATTATCTTTGTCATGTGTACTCTAGGTTTCAGATCCATAAAGCACAGTTGGTCTTTTCTGTTCGAATTGTGATCCTGTTCGAGGGAAAGCATTAAATTTTACAAGATGTTGTATGGCATAGTATAATTTATTTCCATATGACATTCTAGATTTAGTTTTCTTCTCTTGGAATTTCTGAGCAGATAAAGTTTACACCCAAGTGCTTGTATATTTGAGTTCTTTCAGATTTAATTAAGTGATCGTTTATAGCAACCATACCATCGTCTCTTCCCAGGAATTGTCAAGTTTACTGTCTTCCAGCTAAGACGCAAAGCTGTCAGGTGGGTTCTTTCCAAACAGCCTTTACCCAAGGGTTGTAAACGGCTGAAAATGAAAGGGCTGGCCCAATACAAAGTGGTGGTGTCAGAGGTAGACGGCTGTGTGAGGGTTGAATCGCAGGCTCGACCAAAGGTAGGTAGGCATTATAGGTGCCTGACACTAGTGGTTCGGCCATCTAAGGGCTACCTCTCTTCCCATTTAAAGTCTCCCCCACTCCCCTTTCATAGTCTCAGAAGAGGTCTAAGAGGCCCCTTCAACCATGTGCAGAACTTCTCTTTGACGGCATTTGATTATACCTTTTATTTCATTTTAAACTACGTTATTGAATTTATTTGCAGTTCAGGAATAATAATAATAATAATAATAATAATAATAATAATAATTATAATAATAATAATAATAATAAAACTGTGTTGAGTGGAAGAAATATAATTACATATTTGAAAAAAAATAGTGAATTTATAATAATAAACTTTAAAAAAAAAAAAAACAACAACAACAACAACATTGTATGATTAAAGCAGGCCTCCCCTTACAGTTTTAGGAGTTCCTAAAAAGGGCCTGTGCCCCTTACCCCAACTTCTGCCTACAAAATGTGTAATGCAGAGGCTTAGGCTGACCCCCCCCCCCCTCTCCCCCCACCCCAATGAAAGTCGAAAAGTTCAGCATTTTGGTCAGCGACTGCTAGGGAAAAAAAACCCTGATGTGTCGGGTGAAAATTGCAAAACATCGCAGCTCTGATTCAAACAGGCACAATACAGTTACGTGCTAAATATATATATTTATAAAAGACAGGCGAAAATAAATAGTCGGGAAGGAACACAAAAACAAGAAGTACTAAGAAAGAAGCATGAAGAAAGCGGTGGCAGCAGCAGCAGTAGCAGCAATAGCAGCAGCAGAAAAGAAGAAGAAGAAGAAGAAGAAGAAGAAGAAGAAGAAGAAGAAGAAGAAGAAGAAGAAGAAGAAGAAGAAGAAGAAGAAGAAGAAGAAGAAGAAGAAGAAGAAGAAGAAGAAGAAGAAGAAGAAGAAGAAGAAGGAGGAGGAGGAGGAGGAGAAGAAGAAGAAGAAGAAGAAGAAGAAGAAGAAGGAGAAGAAGAAGAGTGAGGAGGAGGAAAAAGAGACACGTGAAAAGCATAACGACAAGATGCAGCAACACAGCATCTATGTAAGTTCGGGAAAATATTTCAAAAGTGTTATTGTTACTTATGGGAGGAGACGAAGGTGGTGGTGGTTGTGGGGGGGGGGGGGGCAGGGGGAGAAGGCGGAACACAAAATATAAGAAGATATAACTCCTACAAGAAAATTCGAAATGATATTCCGGTGAGGGAACACGTTTTCGTTGAATGCATGAATAATTGAATCAATCAAGAATTGACATCACTGCACTCAGGACATTCCCAAGCGTGCTCCGTCTCTTTCTTCTGTAACCAGCGAAGAGTTGACATGTTAAAGGTACCAGCTGCGACCTGAGTGAAAGCCCGCCTGTTTGTTTCCCATGTAAAAAAAAAGGGGGGGGGGGAGCATTCAGACAGGGAGAGAGAGAGAGAGAGAGAGAGAGAGAGAGAGAGAGAGAGAGAGAGAGATCAACTGCTTAATACATCTATGTCCTAACTATGGACTAGAAAAACTCTTTGAGTACCAATCAACTCACTATACGTTCTTGGATACTCCAAAGACAATGTGATAGCCTTCCTGTCTGCTGTAGAAAGATGTTACATGAACCCTCTTTATCCGTATTATTAGATTACCTACTCCTGTCCTTTAGTGATTCTATCACAACTCTATTAGACCACCGTATTTATTGCTTTTAAGTTCAACATCGTGACATAGAAGGCGTTTAAAAAACAACTATTTGGGACAAAAATTAAGAGAGAGAGAGAGAGAGAGAGAGAGAGAGAGAGAGAGAGAGAGAGAGAGAGAGAGAGAGAGAGAGAGACCGCTAAATACCTGTAAGCATAAATATGTGACCCTAGAGCACGAGACAGGCAGACCGACAGAGACCCATCAACAGTGTGTCTATAGAATTAGCAACATCAACAAGAAAACACACCGCAATGTTCCTAAGTCCCCACATCGATTCTGGCAAGCGAGATCACAAACCACAAGACAGCTGTAGTTCCTTTAATGAAGTTAACTATGCACGTGTAGGCGAGTGCCTGACGTCAATCAACAGGCTTCCCTTCCACAGACGGAGGTGTTCTTCTTTGACAAAGGCCCTGAAGCAACACTGGCTTTCGACATAGAGTGTGGAGATGTGGTCGTCTCCATCTTTAACTCAGCTTCGCGTGTTACATTTGACGCCTGCTATCACAGGTTAGCATTGTCACTCGTGTTTCCTTTGCAAAACAAGAAGAATTATCTTCATTTTGCAGTAGTCTTATACAATAAATTCATTCTGATGTTCATAATAATATTATTCAATAATATAATGTGTTTATGAATGTGTGTGTGTGTTATTTTATGTTTGCATCCCCGTTTCCTGTTTGTCGTTTACGTTTCGTTTCGCAATCTTATGTGTTTTCCTTTTTAGATGTTTTCGTATTTTTTCGCAAATTTCCTTCATTTTGACCTGGATGTTTGCTTTTTATTGATTTATATTCATTGATGAAGGCAGTTGACATTTTTGGTTTTATTTGTGTCCGTTTTTTTAGGTTTCCTCCGTTGAGCCTCCTAGTTATTAGTTTGTTTTAGGTAACTTATTGATCTTAAATGGACTGCACCAACTGTACTTCCGAAATAGCACTAAGTTCTATATAATGTTGACTATCAAGATACCTATTTTCTTCTTCTTCTTCTTCTTCTTCTTCTTCTTCTTCTTCTTCTTCTTCTTCTTCTTCTTCTTCTTCTTCTTCTTCTTCTTCTTCTTCTTCTTTTTCTGTTTCTTCTGCTTTGTCTTCTGCTGCTGCTTCTTCTTCTTCATTTCCGCTTTGGGTGTCGAGGGCGAGATAATATTATGTTTCTGGCTCTTCTGGCCGCCTCGACCATCGACACATCGTTCTACTGTAGAGTTTCTCCGACGTTATCATTCCCTCTGCCTGGCTCGCTAGCATAGTTGGTTAAACCTGACTTCGCGGTGACTGGTTGATGGACTGCTTGTGGTCCGGGTTCACGCCCGGGGGTAGGCAGAAAAGCCACATTTCTCTCAGAAAAACGGTACTCTTCTTGGAAACAAGGCAGAATGGTTGCAATATCTATAGTACCGAGCCAAAGGGTTAACAACTCATGGTTTCCGAAAACCTAAAAAATAAAAACGTTTCTTCTTTTTGTTGGTCTACCGTGTGCTCTACGTCCTTCCTCTCTGTTGGTGTATATCTTGTATGGTTTGGCATCACAAGTCATTCTCTCTAAGTGGGCAAACCATTTGTATGTCATTTAGATTTTTTTCTGTGCCGAGTTTTTCACTCATGACCCCATTTCTGTTTTTATCTTTTCTGGTCACTCCTGCAGCCATTCTCAGACATGTTATTTCTAGAGTTACTGATATTCTTTTATGGTTTTATATCCCACCAGGTTTTACTAGTTAACTACATGTCCTTTTTAGGACTTCGTAAAAGAACTCAAAAATTTATTGGTGGTTGTGGGAATTAAAAAACCGTCAAGTTCTGGAACAAATCCAAAGTCTAGAAGTGGATGAACAACCACAACTTTCCGTTGGAGTTAACAGCCTGTGAAGGCAAAGAAGAAGAAAGAGGACATAGCAATTGTTTTACTGACAGTATGACGTTCAAGCATTGCCAACATTAACGCACAGCAGTCTGCTTTGAATCAAATGCAGCTGACTTCGAGGCCTGGTAGCTTCATTTAGAAACAGACTCATCTCCAGATGGAGAAGAAATATAACCAAATTCAACAGCAGGTGAAACAGAACCTTGTCTTACCTAGAAACAATACCTCGTCATTAGCGTCGTCTGTAGCAGATAGTGCAGTTTTGCTAGTGGACTATGAACTCTTTCTATAAGCGCTCGAATCGCATCTTCAGTATATGCCTTAGCGTGTGGCGACTGACAACACCAGTGGTTTGTTGGTTTACTATTTTTCTTTGGCTACCTGTATAGTGGTAATGTTTGGCGTCGCCTCTTTGGCCCGGTCCATTGCTTTTCATGTGCCTACCGTGGCCTTGCCAGCAAGCCAGTACGCTAGTTCATTCTCTCTTACCCCAGAGTCCTTGCATAAAAATGACATTTATTCCTTTCAGAAGAATACAAATGACACTTATTCCTTTCAGAAGAATAAAAATGACACTTATTCCTTTCAGAAGAGATTTTCTCAGCGACTCCAGCTATTTTCTTCGAATCCATCCTGTCCCTATCTTCTCAAGCATGATCATGGAATCACTTAAAATTCACCCATAGGAAAAATGCTGTGTCTCCAGCCAACTCATCGCTTTTGATACTGCTATCACCTACATAGTCAAACTACTTGTAGTCGAGGCAAAAAAACCCGCTATCTTCTTTTACAGTTTTTCCTTGGCGAGAACTGTGAAAGTCCACGAACGTTTTAAGCGTCGAACGACGGGTCCGTCATTGTAAATAACTGCATCTCCGTAAGCAGATTTTTCAAGAATCAGCGCTTAAACTTTTGCCTCAGCCACTAACGGCCCTGGTCTGCAGTCTCTATCCAGTTTTATGCAAACTTAGAAGGGTGTACCCCTTCTGGCATTTGTATCGATTCCTTGCCAGGTTCTATATTTTACTCATGCGCACCACTTAACATTTATGATGCTTGTACATTTTATGTCTAGTCTGTCCTATTAAAACATCCCGCACCACATCCGTCTCCTTACATGGGTTGTGTACGTGGCCGCCGTGGCGCTATGAACCCTTGATATCGTGGTCACAATTGAAACGACTGATCTCGCCAGTTCTGTGTTGATTTAACTAAACGACGTTTAACATTACATGTATGCCTGAAAACTCCATGGTGTATCCCGTATCGACCAACATATATACGAAGTCATGATTACCTCCGTAAAGTGAAACACATACAGTAGAACCTCGCTTAACGAGCACCTCGCATAACGAGTAATTCGCATAACGAGCAAAACAAATTGTAAAAAAAATGACTTGCTAAACGAGCGATGTTTCGCATAACGAGTGGCGAGGAGAGGGAAAGTCCCCAATTGTGCGCATGTTACATCAGTCTGTGTTTAGCACTTGTTCCAGTAGCATCGTAGTGTCGCTTGTAATCACACATTTTCTCAAACTTGTGTTTTATTGTGATATATGTACATGAATCCTCCAGGCCTACAAGATGATCTGTCTGAAGAATTTAAGTTCATCAAGATCCAGTTTCTGCCTTCCAACACCACACAGTAACTCCAGCTCATGGACCAGCAAGTTATTTCTAACTTTAAGAAGCTCTACACTAAAGCACTCTTAGAGCATAGTTTTCAGGTAACTGAAGGGACCAACCTCACTCTCAATGAGTTTTGGAAAAATCACTTCCACATCATTGCCTGCCTCAAAATGATCGACAAGGCGGGGGAAGGGGTTACCAAGAGAACCCTAACTTCTGCTTGGAAGAAGCTTTGGCCGGAGAGTGTTGATTTGTGATTTTGAGGGGTCCGAGACAGTACCTGTGGAACCTGTAGTCAAGGAGATTGTGTCTTTGGAAACTATCATGGGATTGCAGGTGGATAACAGTGATATCGAAGAGCTTGTGGAAGAGCACAACCAAGAGCTGACTACCGAAGAGCTTATGGGGTTGCATTGTGTTTCACAGCAAGAAGTTTTGGAGAAAAGTTTGTCAGAGGAGGAGGAGGAGGTAACAGAGAAGCAACAATCTTCTGGCGAAAAAAAGAGAAATGCTGAAAGCATGGCAAACTGTTGCATCTTACATTAAGAAGCCTCACCCTAATAACGAAGGGGCTATGCGCGCTGCAAATTTATTTAATGATAATGCTGTGTCGCATTTTCGCCAAATTTTGAATCGTCGGCAAAAATAAATGTCTCTGGACATCTTTCTAGTAAAAAAAAAAAATAATTATCTATGTATCATAATTATTTCGACTTTTTTTTCTGCAAACCAAATTCACATTCCAGGTGGGTTTGTACCGCGTTTGAAGAAAAGATAAAGATCTCTCCTTAACAATATGCATATAATTTTCTTTGAATAAATGTTATACATAGCATTTTGTGAGTATTTTTTTCGACATGGAACGCATTATCGTATTTTACATTAATTTATTTGAGAAAAATTGTTTCGCATAACGAGTGTTTCGCTTAACGAGTATGATTCTTGAACGAATTATGCTCGTTAAGCGAGGTTCCACTGTATTTCAGTGACGCGTCAACTTATCTCTTTCAGCCCTCACATAGAAATAACAACCTCGCCAAGAATGTCATCGGCCTGCCTCTATCACTACAACCCATCGGCATTATGTTCCCTGCACAACACGCCTTTAAAACCCGGAACCATCTTCCAGTTAGAGGCCAGACACTTAGGACAGAGCAAAGACTCGGGTAGCTACATCCGGATCTGTGTGTCGCATGCGCGAAGCTATTATGTCAATGATGACCTCATCCACTGCAGGGCAAGTCCAACTTTACCTGTCTTCTCCGGGAAACGGATGCGCCTTGGGATGGGGACGGCGAGGTCCTGCAGGTCACAGTTGTCTCTGATGGTTTAGTTATCAACAGGTGAGCAGCAGTTTGAACTCATAAAGTCATTGACAGGCTTTAATTTAACTCAGTATATACTTCGAAGTCATTACTAAATCTTTCCGTATTTTTTTAAGGAAAAAAAAAAAACAGGGGGGGGGGGGGGCAGGGGCAAGCGGGCAAGGGGTTCGGAGAGAAATAACCTTCTGGCCGCTTAAAGGCATATCGTAAAGGGCGACTAATTAGTGGTGTTTCTTTCGAAATCAAAATGCACCTGAGGGCAAGTAAACCAGATATTTAAAATAGGCGTGCTTGCAAAAGTCAAACTCTAGAACACTGCCAAAGTCTAGAAGTGGACGAACAACCAGAGTCTACAGCAGGTGAACGTTAGAAAGAAGATGTGTAAATTCATGCAGTTGTCCTTCTCCTTCTTTTCCTCATCCTCCTTCGTTATTCTTAACCCTACTTCTTCTTCTTCTACTTCTTCTACTTCTTCTTCGTCTTCTTCTTCTTCTTCTTCTTCTTCTTCTTCTTCTTCTTCTTCTTCTTCTTCTTCTTCTTCTTCTTCTTTTACTTCTACTTCTTCTTTTACTTCTACTTCTTCTTTTACTTCTTCTTCTTCTTCTTCTTCTTCTTCTTCTTCTGCTTCTTCTACTACTTCTTTTACTTCTTCTACTACTCTCTTCTTACTACTTCTTCTACTTCTTCTTCACT